AGCCTGGCAGAGCGGTGCACACGAATCTTATTCAGTGTAGCGTTGGACTGGTCACGATTTATATGGTTTGATCTTCTTTACATCTGTTATAAAATAAGATCGGGAGCGCCATGCATCAGAAAATTATGGGGTTTCCTTAATATTCGGTGCTGGATTTTAATGTAACTTATGTACATAGAGTACAAATTAAATTTCCAAATAGTTTCCAGACTGCTTTGCATATTCGTGCATACTTATTTTTGTTTTAAATATGGCTTTGATGTATCACAAGTTGAGAATATTTGAAATAATGTTTATTACTAAAAATAAAAAAATAAGCAGCTATTTTTAAATTACTATATTGCTTTAAATTTGATGACTTTTGATATATTGTTATACTTTAATAAAGGTTAAAATGTAGAAAGGAAACTGTCAGCCAGCAGATCGTCCCGCATGAACGTGTAACATAAGCCTGAGTTTTGCAAACATAGGTTTGAGATGTATGTATCCGTGTGTTCATAGAAATGTGCTGTTTTGTGGCGTTTTTGACGAGCAGCGTTCCGTTGAGCGAATACGCGTCACAGGAAATGCTGGAGTCAGTATCGAAATTTCTCAAATGGTCTGGAAGGCCAGAGGTTTGAGGGGAGACCCTCCAACCTAGCAAGGGGTGTGTTCGCGGGCGCTCAGGGCGATTTCACCTTAGCAACCTGTTTGCCGTAGGCCAGCTGGCAGGGTACATGTGCACTGTCCTAAACGGGACTGGATTAGGGCACGTGCGTGTGAACTCACGGGGAGGGCTATCTAAAAATATAACAACTCCATTTTCTTTCTAAATGCTACATGTTCGAGGAAAACCATCTCATGTAGTAACTATATAGTGAGCAAGGAAAAACCCTTATGTGCTGAATATAGAATGGTCTGGAAGAATTTCTTGGTAAAAATAGAGGATATGAAATGTTCTTTCAGAATAGACTTTGAAATGTTATTGTATAAAATGTAGGTTTTGATTTATAAAATGTTATTGTATAAAATGTAGGTTTTGATATATTGTAACATTAAGAACTGTCGTTCGGATACTCACTTAGGGAGCTTTTAGAGCTCAGATTATTGAGCCAATAGATGAGAATGGCTAAAAGAAACGCTCCTGATTTCGCAGATCACTGAGGCGATAAACGGTAGTAGCTCAGACGTCTTCGTGTGGGGCCTGCCTGCAGGTGCAGCTGGCGCTTGACACTCGGTAGTTCGTGCCCAAAAAGGGACAAATCAACTGGAGAAGAGAAGGAAAGCCTATATACCCCATCACTTTTTTAAAAACGAACACTTTTCATTTAAACTCCAAAACAGAAAAAGTGATTCCTATAAGATTTAGGAGTTTAATTTAGTGTATGAGTTTCGGTTCTGTGAAATACAGGAAGTACAAACGAAAGTCTGAAAATTACTTATTTTGTTGTTTCTTAAGAGTCTACTAAAAGTGGAAAACATGGGGCCGACGTGCTTCGACGATATTTGAAAGCAGTGTGCTTTTCTTAGGAATTTCAGTCACGTTAAAGTGCAGCCCTGTGTCCGTTGTGTAGTCACAGTCCAAGTTCTGAATGGCAAGGAGCTGGTGGGCTGGTCCGGGACTAGTTCAGCTGTTCAGAGACGGGGGGGCATGAACAGTAAGGCCTCCCGCCCCCGCCAGGCTCTGTGTCCAACCCCGCTGCTCGGCCTGTGTCGAGAGTTGTCTTGAGTGAATTAACTATTAGATCGGAGGCTTTTCTGTCTTTCGAGTTGTAATGCATTTACAGGGAAACTATAAGACAAATAATATTTAATAATAATATTAATGGTAAAAATAATATTAAAATAATATTTAGCTTTCTACAGGAGTTTAAATGGGCTTTTTGACGTGTAGCCTGTTACTATTTTGCTATTCTAAAATGCCTCTGTAACAAGGAAGTGGGAGTTTTAAGAGGGCAGTAGAAGTGTTCACGTTCACGTGACGTTCATACCGTACGATCAACAGTTAGCGGCGCTTGTGCCTTTCGTCCTGTCTCTTGCAAAGTTGTTACAATGCGAGACTTTGGTTCCAGTGCAGCGTGCACCGTGATTTCTCAGGGACTTGGTAGCAGGACGGGAGGCGTAACCGAGATGGATTGGAATGGCGCTGTGTCACGGAGGTAAGGTGGATTCTGATTGGTCCGTGCGATCATTACAGAAAACCTGGCTGATCTTTCCTTGATTAAGCAGGGGAATACCGAATTTACCCTTTATTGTTGGTACAAACCATTATTTTACTGAGAACCATTAGCTGTTTAAAACTTGGTACATAAATTAAAGAGGAGCTAAGTGGGTTTGTGATCGTTGCCATTAGCACATTTTAGATTATACAGGCAATTATTGTGTTCATTATCCTAGAACAGCCCCTTTGCAGAACCATTGTGGCGTCTCAGACATTATGCACAAATTTTCCCTTGGAGATTAAAATTTCCAGTAGCGTATTTAATTTTGTTATCACAGTTGTTTCAAATAAAACAAATATTATGACAAGTAGAAGAAAATTTGCTTTACTAATATAGGAAATTACAATAAATGTTGAAAATTAGTTCCTAGTATACTTAACTTACCTTTTCTTGTACAGTCATAATTACTTCAAGTGATTATTAATGTATTTTATGCATGAAACGATTTTGCAATCAGAGCGAAAGTTTCAGTGTTTCAAGAATTTTTTTAAAGAAGAGATTCACACGAAAACTCAAGTTACCACCTTCTTTATAGAATCTGTAACTTTATAAGGTGACTAGTTTTTATACTGAATAGTTCTTAAGAGTCTGGATTGCATTTTAGACAAGTTGAACAAACTTTTAAAGGTGTTTTAGAGGGGTGAAAATAAAAAATTAACTATTATTCGAAAGTGGACTGTAAAAAAAATAAGAATTGAAATACTTATTTTCTTCTCACTGCGTTTTCTTAGAATTGGCAAAACACAAAACAAAACCAAACAAAACAAGATCATACCACATGCTATGGCTTGGTTCCAATTATATTCCAGGAAGAACAGCCATAGCTCAGAAAAGGCCGCCCAGGAGAACGCGAGGCCAGCCGCCATGGACAAGTCAGCGTCCACGCTGCCGAGCTCAGCTGCCTCCCTTTGCGGAGGAGGGTGGGGACACAGCGTCCAGCTGGCTTCAGAACCGCTGTACTCGGGGCCAGGCGGCCGCCACGTCTGTCTGGTCCGCTAGAAAGGCCGAAACAGTGTGCGTTTCGGCAGATCCGCGTGCGAGGCGCTTCCTCGGCCACTGTCCCGTGTGTGGCATTCTTCAAGGGAAGCGCTGTGTCCATTTCTGGCTGTGTCCCTGCTCTGACAGTCCTCCACTGCCATGATGCAGGGGAAGTGTGGTTATGCATTTCGCAAGACAGTGATTCTTTATTTTATTACAAGAAAAAGACCCACTCTGCAAGGCCAGATTAAATCATTCCTTTCACTTTTTAATGGGATTTGGATGAATAGAGTAAAATACGCACTTTGCATTCACTGATAGCATCTTTGGTTGAGGTAATTGAGTCTTTTCTCCCTGACCAATGAATAATGACTTCATCTGACCCTCAGCGAGCCTGACACTTAGGCCGCCTTTGTCACAGCAAGAGGAGCCGGGCTTTGAAACATGCTCTACTTCCCTGGCTTAATTTTTCTTCATTTTAATCCCAAACCCTATTTTTCTCAATAATTCAAGCATAAACTATGTAGTAGTTGAAGGAGCGGAAATTGCAAGGTATTTGTCCTCGTCGCGCGGCTTCTTAAATGGAGTTGATAAATCAGGCTGTGGCCTCAGCTGCTGTGTTCTCAAGGGAAGCACAGCCCTCAGGCGGCCCCGCGGGATGGGATGGGACAGGCCGGGACGTGTCAGACCTCAGACCGGTCCTGCGCCGTTTGTCTGTCCTCCTTCAGGTTTGCAGCCGCCCCCGGGCTGCGGGCGGGGATCCCTCGGAGGACAGTACTGGTCTGACGGCAGTGACAAGTGGCCGGAGAAGGGCCTCATCTGCTGCCGCTCTGTGTAGGCTGGCGGCTGGGCTTGTTCCATCTCCTTAGTGAGGGGTCTTTATAGTAGGTGATCGGAGCAAGCTCGCTGCCCTGTCTGTTGCTTTTCTTAATGGAGAGAAGTCCTTCTCAGAGAGGCTGCTGGCCGGCAGGGATGACGGACACACTGCCTCTTCTCAGGGCCGCAGCCTCCCTGCAGTCCCTACGTGGGGCGCACGGGCCGAGGGAGACACACATCCGCTCTCTAGAGAACGAAGCGAGCCCACAGGTCTGCTCGTGCCCGTCACCACCTGTCTTGAGCGTCCTCGTGGGCCATCACAACGCCACCACCTAGAGAGGCACCTGAGGTTTTGCGGCTGGACACCCAGACTCATGCGTCCTCGGTGGAGCCCGCCTGGAGGTGCTGGGCCGCGACCCGTTTGCAGAAACCCGCCCCCATCTCCAAGGGCTTTTCAGGACAAGAGTGAAGTTAACACACGCTCGTGTTCCGTTCTGATAAAGGCTGAGAGGAAGTTTAAGGGTGCCATCACTATCACGCGTTCAGATGTGTGCTGCTGGGGCCTTATGGTTATGTCCGAATTTTGTTTTTCAGGTTGGTTTGTTGGACCTTGAACTCAACCAGCTGACCAAAGCGCTGTTTCTGGCACTAGTTGCCCTGTCGGTTGTCATGGTCACCTTACAAGGCTTCGTGGGCCCGTGGTACCGCAACCTGTTCCGCTTCCTCCTCCTCTTTTCCTACATCATTCCCATAAGGTGAGTTTAAGAATTAAGATAAAACAAAGGTCCAGTTTCATTGAACAAGATCTTATTGAAATTTATGTCTCAGTTTGAAAGAAATGATTCACGCAGAGCTCAAGAGGAAGGAGCCAAGAACTCTGGGGAATCTTGGGGAACCCTTCAGTAGAAAATAACATTGGTTGAGGGGTGGTGAAATCGGTTTCGGGAGAATAATCTAGAAATCCGTTACTTTTCCTTATGTAGCCTGGAATGGGTATTGATAACAGTCTTTGACAGGACCCGAATCCAGCGGAGTAGTCCTGTCTGTCGCTGACGGCCTACTGCCCCGCCTTGCCCTTGGGGCAGTGTGCGCAGTCGTCGACGTTTTAAAGTTATCTGTATTTCAGAGACCATCCAACATATCTGTCAAGTTAGATAAAATATTGAGTAAGGTGGTCTTCTAACATGAATAATTTTTCAAAACAGTAACCCGTCTAACTCGAGATTGGGATATAAATAGTTAATATTCGATGTCTGTTTAATTTAAAGACTGATATTAACAACAAATGTATGTAAGTCCATTTAAAAATATTTCCACAAAGGGTATTTTTGAAAAGATGTCCTTAATACATATGATTGAAATTGTTCATAGGAGTGAGGAATAAAAACCTAATAAATCAGGCCTAACGTATGAATCCGGAAAATATGCATCTTTTTAACAAAGAATGGAACAGAAACGTGTAGAACCGTTAGGTGCAAAGATGCAACCGTTTTGGAGAGAAAGGCACATCTTTATCTGAGACCAGTTTTCTCTAAGTCTGCCTGAAGGGGCGTGTCTTCCATGTACGTACGTCGTGACAGCGGAGCGGTGGTCTGTTCTTGGGGCTCCTGCGCGCGACACGCCCAGCCGCTGCCGCTCCGGTTGGAGGTGGGGAGCCTGTGTCCCCTCCTCCCGAGCACACAGTCTCGGGCGTCACGCGCACACAGCTGGGATGAACGCGCCAGGGTGGCCGCTCCGCCCTCACCACCGACCCCGAGGCCTGCTGCGTGGCCCCGGCGTGGGGGGCGCCAGCCGTGTCGCCGGCCTGCAGGCCCCGGGAGCTCCGCCCCCGCAGGCCCTCCCTGCTCGCCGCCCTCTGCATGCGCGACCCTCCCACCCCCTCCGACCCCAGGCCCCCCGACTGCCCGATCCCCAGCTGTTGGCCAGCCCACCTCACTTCGGTCGCTGATGCTGGTCTCGCTTGTCTTCTGACTGTCCCTCGCCTGCCCCCCACCTGCTGTGCCCAGTGCCACCAGCGCAGTGCAGGCCGGGCCGGGGCCCCTCACGAACCGGTCAGGCGGCCCCTTACCAAGGCCCTGCCCTGCTCCCTGGGACTGAGCGTGCACGCGGTCTTTGGGCTGTCACGCGTCCCCACACTCATCACACAGACACATGCTGAGTGCCGCAGCCGGGCCCTGGGAGTCTCGTCTTTGTCCCCAAAGCCCCCTGGGTCGGCGGCAGCAGGCAGACTGTGACTTAGTCACCAGTCATGCGGCACTCACGCCTTCAGAAGGGACGGCCCGCAGGTCGTCCTGTCGCACACTCAGCCCGAGTCCTCCTCAGGGGCCTCCTGCGGGTCCCCACACAGCCCTGTCTCCATGCCACCTGCTGCCGCAGTCTGGGGGAATAGGGATCGGGTGACAGCCGGACGTCCTGTGGCCCCGCAGAGAGTGCGGGCTTCGTGGCGCCTGGCGTGTGCTGTGGCCCCAGCGGCAGGGTGCTGGCCTGGCGGGACAGGAAGTCTGCGGCTGTGAGGAGCGACTGGTTTTTTTCACTCCTCCAGTGATAGGATACGAAGCGTCACTGACATGCCAGCCTGCCAGCGGGTCGAGTTCCTTTTTGTTCTGAAAGTGGCTCTTGAAACCCCTTCCCGTATTCTCTGCGCCAGTCAGTCAGCTCATTCTCTGGATTTTACCTACTGATTTCGCTTGACTTTGTCACCCGTTAGATCAAGGACCTCGATGCCATCCATTACTCCTCTGAATCAGGGTCACAGCTTTCCGGATGGCCCCCTGAGTAATCGTGGCCACTGCAGCGCCTACCCCTATTCCTCACAAGCAGTGAAAGCGCGCCCGGCCTGCCACACCCGCCGGCCCCCACGGGACCCGGGATGTCCTCTCGGGGCAGGGTCCGCGGTGGCGGGGGCTCCACACGCAGCCGTGAGCACCCCCCTCCTCCTCTGCTCTCCCTCAGCTGCCAGCGCTGCCTCCTGCGCCCGTCGCCGTGGAGCCGGCGTGTTTTCCGGGAGATCCCCAAGTTGTGGTTTTGGTTTGTTGCTGTTCTTTCGCTTCTGTCAGTTTGGAGATGCTACGCGATGTCACTTTCAGGACGGCCTCTGCTGTGCAGTGCGGAAGGCCTGCTGGGAACGCCGCTCCCTGCTCTTCTAGAGGCCTCTGCCTTCAACGACGGAGGCCACCGAGCAGTATCCAAACCTTTGTTATAGTTTTTTAATGAAACGTTTCATTTCTATGGATTGTCTCCACTTTCTTCAGCAAAATGGCAATTTAAAGAGACTTGACACTTTCTCCTTTATCGAGTTAACAAACGATTACAGTAATGAAGTGTCCTTGTAAGCATTTTAAATCTAAAAGTAGTTTTCATTGTTTTTTTAAATTTCAATTATGTACATAGTAAAAAATGAGATAATACGTGATAACCAGAGAAGGAAGTATGAAGTATAATTTCACTAACTTGATACAGTCTGTAAAGCCTTTCAGTTGTGTGTATACGTGCAGATACGTAAGACGTGCATATGCGTACGTACAGTATTCACACGCACACCCTCTTTTTTTTTTTTTTGAGTCTGGCCTATTTAAAACTCTGCTTACAAAATGAGGCAGGTACCAGGCTTTCTGCAAGTCTGTTCTAGTTTTTCAGTCAACAGTTTTATGCGTCGCGCTTGGAGAGACTTACTGGACAGAATTATAGCTGCACCTCTGTGTAGCTCCAAAATACCTCACGTCTACTTCAATATGTTATCCTTGTTTTTCACAGTCTCAGGATGTAGCTGCACAGCTTAGCAGAAGGATAAATACTGTAAGGTGTGAGCCGTACGGCATACTGATTTAGCGAAGTAAGGTTTACATTTGACTCAACCAAGTCTGTTTTCCTTTGCAAAGTTTCCATAAAACATGAATAAAACATGAATTTAGTATTTGCTAAATATGTTTTCAATTTAATAAAGGATAGATTTTAAAATATTTCATTTCGCAAAGTGCACAGTTATGGAGATGAAAGTGCTTTTTCCTCTACTGACCTAACTCTCCTAAAGGCTTTTCAAATTTAAGAAAGTTAAGCTGTTTCATAGAAATTCTTCTTTACAGAATAAAATATGTTCCAGTTACCCGATAGAATTTACTGTGTTTTCCAAGGGAAGTGTTACAAGGTTTAGCTCTTCCTTTTGTAACTAAGATGAGTGCGCGTTCCCTGCAGGGCGGGCCACGCTGGCCCGGTGACCGGCCCGCCTGCCCCTCCGCCCAGGCGCGTTAGCGTTCTGGTTGGTAACGTAACCGTCTTCTTGGTGCCGGGTCAGAGATTTTCACTGTCGCCTGGGCCCCTGTGGGCGAGGGGGGCGCAGTGGTGTTCGACGGAGTGACATGCAGCGGCTCTGGTAGAGGCACTGAAGGTGACGGCGTCCATGTGCCTCGGGAGGCAGGGTTTTCCTGCCCTTTCCCGCGAGCTGGGCCGCCCCGCGGGACGTGCAGGTGTCGCATCCCGCCAGCCGGAGACCGCGCAGGGGCCGCGTCCGCCGCGGCATTTAGAGACGCGCCTTCCTGCGGCTTGCTTAGCAGCTTTTCGTCAAGTTGTCTCTGCAGCATTTCACAAGTGCGTTTCCCCCGTCACACATCCGCACGCGGCCTCATTTTCCAGGAGGACCGCGTTTTCAGCGTCCCTCGCACCTAGGAGTGGCAGTCCGGTGTCGCCGGGTCGGGACATGTGCAGCCCGCCCAGAGGCGGCCGGTGCCCACCCTGGAAGTGCGGCGCTGGGGCGGCCGTCGG